GATCCCCCACATGGCACCGATCAGTCCGAACGCCGCGGGCCTTGATCGTAGAGGCAGAGTATAAGACAGAATCACCACCGAGCCCGAGAAGAGGCCTGCGGTTCCCATTCCGGCGACGGCCCGGCCGACGATGAACGCCGTCGAAGTCGGGGCCAGCGCGCAGACGAGACTGCCGACCTCGAATATGAAGATTGCCATGAGGTAGACCCATTTGACAGCGAACATGCGATACAGCGAGCCATACGAGGGCTGCAGAGCCGTCGTGGAGAGCAGGTAAGAGGCGCCGTACCAGCCTATGTCCTTCACGGACTGGAACTCTCCCGTGATGGCGCCCAGCGCGGGGGCGATGATGGTCTGGTCGAGGGCGACGAGGAATACCGCCAGACAGAGCGACAATATGATGAGGAGGAGTTTTAAGCCCTTGGGGTAGACTTGTTCGTCCGTTGTGGCCGTCCTGGTTATGGGTACCGCCGTGCTGGCGTTGGCCGTGTCTTGATGTATTTTGCCATTGGTGCTGGCGGTGCCGTTTTCTTCGGCCTTGGTGCTTGAGGTTGTTTTGGTGAGTGAGGAGGATGCCTCCTCGGACGCTGTTGCTGGCGGAGGAGGATGATGCCCATTTGCGCCGTAGCCGCCTACGGGCTTTTCAAGCTCCGTGTCGGCCGTCATGTTGTTGACACGACTGTAGTCTTATAATGTCGAACAGTGAATTTCCACAGTAGTAAATAGTAGGTAGATATCGATATTGAAAGCAGACAGAGATGTTCTTGGCGTTGATGTCTCAGACGGGGACAATGATGACGTCGGGTCGTTTGATATTGCCAAGGGGGAATGTGATCCCGAGTTGTTGGTTGTCTTTGTTCTCAAAGCCGTGTTTGGATGAAAAGGTTGATTCCAGGATTACAAAAATATAGGATACGAAAACTCGAACAAATAATGGATGAAATAGCCGGGGAATGTGCTTTGTCGGAAATACGACGGCGCTTGATCAATGTGCGGAAGAGGAAACGAGCTGGTCCTCCGTTCGCAAAGTGACGAGACAAACCGTGTGATCGGGCTTGGGCACCACCGTGCCTCCGTGGTGTGGTTTCGTTGACCCGGGGAGAAGCGTCCAAGCCTCTGATGCTGCTATGCTTGTTTGCAAACAAGCCTCGGTAGTAGAGAAAATATGTGTAAGAGAAAGACCTGAAAGAGCGAAGGGAAGAGAACAAGTGCTCAGTGCGCCCTATTTAGGAAGAGACGAGACTGGAGTCCTAGGGAAAGAACAAAAGGGGATAAAGCACCCAAAAAAAATGAACCCATCGAATTTTGGCGTGACATGCCTCCGGGACAGGGACTGGAATCGCGTCGTCCCGCTCGTCTATCTCGTTTAGTGCGGAATTTTTTATTAGTGAAAATGGGCTCAATTCCTCCCTGCTCAACGAGGAGGGTGCGACCCAGCTTGTCTGTTACCCCGTGATATTCCCTGTCGGTACTAGCGGCAGGTATCGTGACGGCATCTCATACGGGTTTAAACAGGAGAAAACAAACGAAGCTGAAAAGTCCATGTGTACACATTGGACCGAGAAGACTGATTCCTTTCTCATCACATTCATCAAGATGTACCAGGTACATTTACCTAAGAAGCCGTTGGCTGTTTGACAGCTTGACAGCAACGCCAGCTTTCTTGGCCGGCCGTTGAGAGCATGGTGAACGACCCGGATAAGAAACGAGCAGCGAGCCCAGCGTTGGAATAGCGTTCTGACAGCATTTGCATCTATGGAGGCATCTTCAAACACACGACGAGACAAAGCCGTTCAATCATGGTCTATCCGTACAGTACCCCTACATACTCGTGATACTGCAAATCGTCCGAAAAGCCATGCGAAGTTCAGGCTCGGACGTTGCCTGAACTTCAATCCAGCCCGTCAGTCCGCCGAGTACCGGATAACCGTACAGTACAGTACGTTCTAGATCTTTTTCGTCTCCACCAATCGTTAAATTACCATGCGATGGATAGCGCCAAAACTCGATCACTTGCCCCCATCCAAGTCGACCGCCATCATGACTCCCAAAGGGAGGCAACGCAACCTCCTCGAATCCTCGAATCAACGGAAAGCTGCTGTTAACCAACGAGATACCATACCGAACGCCACGGAAGAATTGACAATCTGGGCAACCAGATCGTCGACCAAAGTGCCGGACCGTTGGAACTGGGGTCATGTGTGGACTTTGGTAATGTGTTTGTCAGACTTGTCGGTGGTCGGTCCTCTCATTCGTCCGACCTGTCATTTTTGTCGCCAGCGAATGGCAGTACCGTAACAAGGTATCACCAGTTATTAGTGCGTAAGACGTCTACGATCTCGTCCCTATCTGAGGAGAAACGAGAGCAAATCTCCAAGTCCGAATCATGTCCGAGAAAAGATGTCTTCAACCATACAATCCGAAGTCTCGGTTGTCGTCTGACGAGGTTAAGCTTGTATGTTGGGTCCGTATCACAATGCGGCTCTGCGAAAAAACCCATGGCACACGTCATGTCCGACCTCTGTCATTAGACACATTCAAGGGGTTGTTGGCTACCTGGTAACAATTGATATAGGGCATTATAAGCTGTCCCAAATATAGCTTGTGCACCGCACGTCAAGAATCCAGTATTGAGGTGGCGAGCTATGAGCCAATCCTCTGCATCTGAATGAAGACGCTGAGCTCCAATTTATGGAACTTCTAGCACGTCAAAATCCAATCGACTATCGTCGTTTTCCTGGGTATCCCATACAAAAAAAGGCAAAAACAATGCCAATACCTGTTTGGCCATTCCATTACCCAGTTCGTGCCATATTCCGGTTCCTCATTAGTCAAACGCCATATGTACACATGCATCCTCGAATTGCTTTAAGGCGCACAATCATGTCCCTCGAGCCTTTTCTTATGACGACCAGAGCACTACTTTCGGTTCCTCGTCTTCTTCTGAGTTTGTGCTGTGTCTTCTTCAACCTCGTCTTCCCCCTTTTTGAGATCTTCTTCAAGGCCCCACTCTTCCTTGTCGTACCAGTCTTCGCCGTCCGACATGTCCCGGTTCGGTCCGCAGTGCGCTTCTGCCTTGGACCATTGCAATACCGTCTTCCGGAGACGGTCTGCTTTCAAAAGCCCTTCGTATAGCTTTTTGGTGCCCCGACATACTTCTTCTTGCTTTAGAATAAAGAGCTGCAATATCCGCCTCACATCGTCCGCTTCTTGCTCCGGGAGCCCGAGATCGCGGTCTGGATGCGCCGCGCGGGGTGCTAGATATAGTGGGTGGATGAAATGCTGTTCGAGAAGCTCAAGACTGGCTGGTATATCTCCGTTGATATGTCTCGCACTGTGGTCATTGCTGTGGTTAGATGGATAATCTGCGTGTTGCTGCGGTTCGTTCGTTCCAACATCTGGAGGCCGTTCGTCCATTTCCACATCGCCTGTGCCATTGGTATGTTTGTGTGGCCTGTGTCTGTCACCAGAATCTCCCTCCTGTTCTAGATTGCTGGGACCACCGTTGCCATTGACAGCATGATCGTCGTCGTTTGGTTGTGCTGTTTCTGGCCTAGTCTTTAGAATCTCATCTGTTGTTTCCCCCCCGGCTGGTAGTTCTCCATCAGCGATATCCCTTTCGTTTTCTTTCGTTCCGCCATTCGGAGGCTGTTGCACAATCTCTGTGTTATCTTTGACCATAGTCTCTCGTAAAGAGGATTGGCCCAGTGTTCGGCTGCTGGGGACAGCGGCTGGTCGCATTAGGAAGCGGGTGGTATCGGTAAACAGTTCGTGATCGTTCTCGTCGATCATCATGCCACAAGGAGCCCACGTATTGTCACCCACAAGATTCGTAAGCAGAGGCTTTATTTTCCACAAGGCCGCATTCTCCTTTTGCATGAGATTCCGGGCTTGGTCTACCAGCTCGGTTAATGCTCTGGATGTGAAGGGTCGCGAGAGTGTGGGATGGGTGGGGAGGTCGGTGACAGCGGTCAAGGGGGCGAGGAGTCCTAGAAAGTAAAACTAGCGTCAGTATTGCCGGTGGCCCCCGGGTAGGGACGAAGAGCACCTACTTTCTAAATGAATCGACGAGTATGGGTTATCCTCCCTAGCGGACGCAAACACTTCCTGGACTCGTTCCTCATTGTCATCACTGTCCAAGTCATATCCATCCTCGTCGATGAGGGGCGGGTTATGGTGTATTATGGACCTGTGATGGCCTGCGAGTTCGCCAACCTGAACCATGATCGATTAGCAAACCGTCATGGGCCTCGTAATACTAGGACTGAGAGGGATTCTACGGCGACGCACCTCTTTGTATGCTGCAGAGTCTAGAGATGGACCGATGCGCCCATGACTAACGAATCGCGCCCTTCTCTTGAGCTTATTTCCACGATTTGTGCTTTGGTCGATCGACGAGTCGGAGTCGGATTCTAGGGACGAGAAGGTTAGGGCGGGGATGGCATAGGGATAGATGACTCTGCGCTGGAAATCTTACCGTAGGCTTTTCGCTTCAATGCCTTCTTTATCGCGGCCACCGTTTCAATAATCAAAGCTTGCTGTTGGGTCGACATGGTGACGTCGTGGGAGACCGAACACCTGGAGCGCGCAGGAGATATTCAGGAAGTGTTCGCAAGATTGCTTTTTTTGTTTGGGCGACCAATTTTGACCATGTGTCGCGTCCCACAGCAGAAATGAAGGTTTGGGTTGTCAGTGTGCGTTTCCACAATGTGTTGAGTTCCTTGCTGAGTTGTGTTCGGGAGGGAATCTTGGAGAAAGGAAAGCCGGCCAGGTCTGCGTGGGTTGGCGCAATTGCGATAGCGATAGCGCTGAAGGCGGGTGGAGACGGCAGAAACCGGGAATCGGAAGTCCAAAATTCAAGGTATGCGATGATGGCGTAGAAATGCGGACTCTCAAATTAAACTTTCGGGGAGAGCTTAAAAGGTGGGGGATAGGAACGGGAACCCACACAAGACCACACTCGAAATGGCAAAAAAGAGAAATCAACAAAACATCATCGACACCCGACGTGGGACTCGAACCCACAGCCTCAAGATTGGGCTCTCTCTCTTTCCTGGGATAGGAAGGAGATCATAGAAGTCTTGCGCGCTACCATTGCGCCAGCCGGGCGGTTAATTGCATATTCGCAGTACAAAAATAAAGGATATAAAAGTCTGCAAACCCCTCGGGGGGCTTGGGGGGTCAAAGAGGCGTTCATCCAACCCGCCTTTTGGCCTATCCACATAAAGGCCTACATTATATCTTAAATGGTGTTGGTATTGTTGGCGTTGAAGTATCCACTCCCATATAACATATTACTCTACATGGGTATGTTCCACACTTGGAGACTGCTTCAAGACTGCTTTGATGACATGAAGAGATGAGGAACAAGGACGGTTAGGTATGGATTTGAATGCCTAACTATGAACTCTGAGGTAAGGACCCAAATCCCACCAAGGTCAACATAACTCCACTTTTACCCCTGAGTGATGATAACATGATTGATGATTCCCAGCTCCCATTTCGCAAGCAATTAGCAGGGCACTTGGTGAAAGAGACGGAATGATGCTGCTTTCCTTCCCCAGAGTCCAGGTTCGGCACATATTATTTCTCCCCGAACCAAAAACAGTCTGTGGTGACGTTGTTTAGCCTCCTCCATCTTTATCCGGGTATGCCTCTCCCCCCCCCGGCGGAGCGGACTGAGACAGAGTGCCCATCATTTTCCAAAGTCATAATTACCAAGTTAGTCATTCTTCAGAGGGGTAAAGCTCATCGGTCCAGTTATACCCGAAGCAAAAAAGGATTTAAAGACGGTGGTTGTGGACAGTGAAAATGATTGAGTACTACGATCCTTCTCTGCAGTAAACTCGCCATGCTCCTGGTTAATTCATTGCTGTACCTTGCAGCGGCGGCCTGCATACCCGTCGCGTTGGGACAGGAACTCAAGGCAGTTCCCAGTCTTCCGGATAATCAGAATTCCACCTATCATAACCCCATATTGCCTGGATTCCACCCGGACCCGAGTTGTATTTTTGTTCCTGAACATGATGATACCTTCTTTTGTGCTTCTTCGAGCTTCAATGCCTTCCCTGGGATCCCGATTCATGCTAGCAGAGATCTTCAGAGCTGGAAGTTAATCGGCCATGTCTTGAATCGACGGGAGCAGCTAACTAGACTGGCTGAGACGAACAGATCAACCAGGTGGGTCTCGAAAATGGAAAGTGAAGTTGTTGGGATATATGGCTGATATTGATGCTGATAGTGGTATATGGGCACCTGCTCTGCGTTATCACGAAGGCACCTTCTGGCTTGTCACGACTCTGGTGGACGATGACAGGCCCCAGGCTGACAGCTCCAGATGGGACAATGTACCAATTTCTGTACACGTTATAATGTGGAAGGAGCCTTTGCTGACATTCTGCATAGATCATTTTCAGGGCCAAAAACCCATATGACCCATCTTCATGGTCCAAAGCCGTCCACTTCAACTTTACAGGCTACGATACCGAGCCATTCTGGGACGTTGACGGCAAAGTGTACATCACAGGTGCTCACGCATGGCAAGTCGGACCAGGGATCCAACAAGCCCAAGTCGACCTCGAGACTGGTGAACTTCTCACTCCTTTCCAAACCATCTGGAACGGAACAGGTGGTTTGGCCCCAGAAGGTCCTCATATTTACCACCGAAAAGACAATGACACCGATGAGGGATATTACTACCTCCTCGCCGCTGAAGGAGGCACCGGGCTCGAGCACATGGTGACCATGGCAAGATCCCGTTCTGTGAGCGGACCTTTCGAGTCGAACCCAGCTAATCCGGTCCTATCGAATTACAACACGACCAGCTACTTCCAGACGGTGGGACATGCGGACTTGTTCCAGGACCGGAATGGTAACTGGTGGGGCGTCGCACTCTCGACTCGCTCTGGACCCGAGTATATACACTTCCCGATGGTCCGTGAGACGGTCATGACACCCGTTCGATGGTCTACTGCCACAGAATTCCCAGTGTGGTCACCTATCAGGGGCACCATGTCTGGGTGGCCTTTTCCCTCTCCTCGTCAGAAGGATTCCATCCCTGGACCAGGACCATATATAACAGAAGGCGACGACTTTGTGTCCTTCTCCGACAATATGACTTCCCTCCCTATGCACTTCACGCACTGGCGATTCCCGCCCGTGGATGTCAACACCGAGGAATCCAAAATCACCATCTCAGCCCCCGAAAAACCAGGCACACTGAGGCTCGACCCATCTTTCCTCAACCTAACAGCCATAAATGGCAACTATGCCGGTCCGAAGCACGACCCGACTTCTCTGGGCAGCATCATCGGCGGAGGCCAGTCCTTCGTCGGACGCAGACAACAAGACACTCTCTTCACATTCAGCGTCCACATGGAATTCTCGCCTTCCAGTTTGGAAGAAGAAGCCGGCGTGAGTGTCTTCCTGACGCAGAACCACCATTTGGACATGGGAATTGTACTGCTGCCCAGGTCAAATTCGACGGGGTCGTTTCCTTCCACCGCCAAGGGCGCGTATGGGAATGGCCGAGGCAGCAACGATAGTGATGTTTTGGTCCCACATGTTCGATTCAGGGGCATATCGTATGTGCCGGTTCCCGAGCCGGTCGTGTTGCCTTTGCCGGTTTCTTGGAGTGTTAGTTCCAATACGACCGGTGACAGACATGCCATGAAGCTATCCTTGGAGATCAAAGCGAGCAACATGACGCACTACGCTTTCAGTGTCGGCGAGACGGGTAGGGCATCGTCTATGCAGACTGTTATGGTGGTTTCTAATGAGCCTGTTAGTTGGGGCTTTACCGGTATGTTTGACATCCTTTTTTCCTCATTTATCTTCTGAGCAAAACATTTGACATTCACCCTTGATCACCTTGTTGGAATCGCTGACTGAGGTATCTCATATTCAAGGCACCATTTTGGGAGTATACTGCACCAGCAATGGCAGACTGGAAGGAAATACACCGGCGTATTTCTCGAACTGGAGGTATATACCCCAGGGTCAGTTCCGAGACTAGATATGGGTTATTGCGGTGCGAGAGTAGGACATACTTATATGTACCTCTGGACTTCCTCAAGCGCCTCGAGATAACCCGGAGCTACCTGACCGCAACCGGGCCAACTACAAGTATATGATCTATCATATCCTCATATATTGTCTATGATACTTTGTTGCTTCGGATGCTATTGGCCAAAAGTTTTGACACACTCGAATTTGATATTTTTCCTATTTTGGAACAACTACCTTAGATACCTTAGGGGGCGGACTGTGTGTATGGTGCGATATGATACGAAAGTTTCATGAAATACAGCGCTATATTACGGTAACTGCGATTACAAGGAGTCCCAGTACATGTAGTACAGTACGTAAATGATGGTCGCCCAGTAAAGACCAAACTCGAACTCATCGGACATCTACCACACAGCGATTTCGATGCCCTTCCCACCCGCCGCGACTAGAGTGACGAGCAACCCGCATCGCCGCTCTCCGCCATAGCCCTCAAATCGCGCGGTAATCAGGAACATCGAAAACGAAGCAGCCCATCAAGGAGAGATTCTCGACTTGTCCACCAAACACAATCACCACGCTGAACAAGCGACAAAACCGCAAAACCGCAAAGATGCAAGGCTTCAACATGGGACGCTATGTCCCGCCGGAGCAAGAAGGCGTAATATCAGGCAACGCGCTCAACAAGAAACACCCTCTCGGCGCTCGCGCCTCGAAGCTCGCCTCGCAGGGCATCCTAACCGTCCGCTTCGAGATGCCCTTTGCAGTATGGTGCTCACATTGTCCCGCGCCCACAATCATCGGCCAGGGAGTTAGGTTCAACGCCGAGAAGAAACGCGTCGGGTACTACCACTCCTCGCCCATCTTTTCGTTCCGCATAAAGCACAACGTCTGCGGCGGCGAGATCGAGATCCGCACCGACCCGCAGAATGCACGATATGTCGTCGTCTCGGGGGGCAAAGCGCGTGATACCGGGTCAGAAGAAAAAGACGATAGCCTGGTCAAGACCGGGGTATTTGCGATCCCGACGCCAGAGGAACGGGCAGATCTGCGGGAGAGCGCGTTCGGCAAGCTGGAAAAGACCATCGCCGACCGGGAGCAGCTCGAGGATGCGAGGCAGCGCATAAACGAACTGCAGGACACCGCGCATCGGCAGTGGGAAGATCCCTATGCGCAGAATTCGCGGCTGAGAAAGGCCTTCCGGGTGGGTCGTCATGAGAGGGAGAAGGAGGCCGTGCGGACGGAGGACCTGCGGGACCGTATGAGTCTGGGCATCGAGCTGCTCCCTGGCACGGAGGAGGATGCTCGTCGCGCGGCGCTGGTCGACTTTGGCAGGCGCATTGATGAGGAAGACAAGGACTCGCACGATGGAGATACCACGTCGGACATAGCAGCAAGAAGCGCAAAGATGGACAAGGTCCTCGCTCGCCCGTTATTCGACACTAAACCTTGCAGCACAAAAGAAAGCCCGAAACTGAGAGACGAGCAGCTTGGCCACATCGGCAATAGTAGCCTGTCGTCGTCGTCCAAGAAGGAACATCTCTCGGGGCTCTTAAAATCCGAAATCGCCGCCGCTAGAACGCGGGAGAACTTGATCTCCGAGATCGTAGGCAACACGCGCGCGACAAAGGATCCCTTTCTCGACTTTGACTTTACCAGTAATAGCAGGAAGTATAAGGAAAAAGGTTCAAACTCTTTCCTTCCGGGCTTTCTACTCAAGAAGAAGAAGAAGAAGATGAAGAAGCGGACCGCTGCTGAGGCGGAGCTGGACGATGACAATACCTCTGAAGGCGACAGTGGTAAAACCAGCGCCGTCAGAGGTGAGAATAGTCCGACATCTGCCTCGGCTGTTGTGGCGATACCTGCTCCCAGCAGTAAGGATATTAACGAGAACAACAATAATAATGGTAATGATCATGACGAGCGTGGAGACCGACGACGACGACCACCGCAAAAACATGCACAGCAAGAAAGACCTACTACTACAACTGCCTTCACCGGTCTAGTCTCGTACGGCTCAGACTCGGATTATTCGGATTTTTAAAATTGGACCCTGACACTCCTCCGACCCTTGACTTGGACCACTCCTACACAGACTCTGCGTA